AGTCTTTTCACTAGAAACTTTCAGGCGAATATCATACATAATATTGTGGATCCAAAATGCCGATTCTGTGATAAATATCAGGATACCATAGAATCTCAGGATGTTCTGTATTTGCTCCAAATGAATATAAAAATCGTCACGATAGAGTGCGGAAATACTTATACTGGATAATGTGCAAATACTTTGGAAAAGATGTTAATAAACACTGGTATGAACTTCACCCAGCATCGGTTACAGAAATAGAAGACATCACAATTCTACGGGATTACACCATCTTTACAGACAGAAATAGGCCAGACATAATTGTCATAAAATAAAGAATTTTCCTAATTGGAAATCTATAAAAACCTAGGAATAGAAAAAAGACCTGGAAATAGAAAAAATGGAAATTGAAAACAAGAATAATGCCAGTCATAGTAGGTGTTCTTGGAATGATAAAAAAAAAAAACAACAACATTGAAGAAATCCTAGCTTAAGAGAAATACAAAAAGTTGTCAAGATAAGTACAACTCACACACTAAGAACTTTGTTCATGTAACGCTAGTTATGTTTTGGGAGTTAAAAAAAAACAAATCATGAAATGTAATCATAACAACATACCACTACCTGCCTTATGTCTTCCCGCAGACATGGTACATAGTGTGACCATAGCAGAAATCGAAATAATAATAATAATACTGAAAGAAACTGGTATGAACACCACCCAGACCCGGTTACGGAGATAGGACCTGTTACAATTCTATGGGACTACACAATACACACTGACAGAACAATCAAAGCCAACCGCCCAGATATTGTTATTAAAGACCACAAACAAAAACGGTGCCTCCTTATTAATATGGCAGCCCCTGCTAACTGCAATATATCTTTGAAGATATCCTAAAAGCTGTCAAAATACAAGGACCTTGAAATAGAAATCTCGAAAATGTGGCATATGGGAACATCAACAATCCCTGTTGTAGTTGGAGCCCTAGGACTGGTTGGAAAAGATTGCTGTAGACTAATTGAAGGGATTTCTGGAAGTCCATGCCTCAAGGAGATACAAAAAATTGTTCTGACAAGTACAGCCCACACTTTACGAAGGGCTTTATCTATGTATTTTTTTTTTTTTTTTTTTGTCAGTGGAAAGTGTCATGATGCCATTTCTAACCTTAGGTCGCTGGACGGGACCCGGAAAGAAATGTGTAAACGCCAGAAATCAAAGAAAATAAAAATAATAATAATAATAATAAATATTAATTATACAAACTTATTATTTTCCCACTTGTTTACATAATTTGGTACATTTTTAAAAAACTAATCAAACAGATTATTTTTGATTATTTATTTTATCCCCCCCAAAATGATGAAACCTAACAGCCAATCAAGTACTCCTAGTTTTAGTTAATCTAGTCTTCTTTTAATAGAGAGGTTGGCGACATCATTACTCTTTTTTTATGGCGTATTATTTTACGTTGTCCATCAGTTTTTTCTTTATCTTTATTACTTTATTCGTGGAACTTTGATATCAGTGGATCTGACCCCTTACAATACGCCGACTGCATCCCCTGCAGGTACCCCTAAAAGGAGTCAACTAACAAGCAAGTGACTAATATAAACGACCTATTCTCGAACCAAGATAGGACATGCGAGTAGAGTAGCGGTTATGGCACGGAAAGAGAAAATGACGGATCGAGTTCAAATTCCGTCTTAGTTAGTTGCGTTCACTTTAGTACCTATAACCTTGTGGAATTCATGAATCTATCCACCCACAAACTAGTGATTGTATAAATAGAAGAGTAAACTGATCTCTCTATTCGTGGTATAGAACCAGTCTAGGAGCAGAACAACTTTGAATTCCAAACAAGTTTGGCGTATGTCTAGCAGTTACACTCCGTAAAAATCTATTTCCTACAGAAATTACAATAGCAACACCTAGTGTGGTGAGTCTGTGGCTTTATACTCCATAGGGGCATCTAATCTCACTTAGTAAGAGAGAGAACCCTTAACACTTATAAACACAGGTTCAAACAGCCTATTTACTTCTAGACTCAAGTATAAACGATCAATATTTATCTATTGACTAAAGTATAAATGCCAAATATTTATTTCTAAACTTAAATACAACAACGACTATTTGCCTATAGACTTAAGTACAATCTACCAATATTTACCTAGGCTCAAGAACAATTACATATAATTATAGACTCAAGTATAATTGACTTATAATTTGTTTATAGACTTTAGTATAATTTTTTTAATGTGTGATTTCAGCATTAAATAACCCAACAATTGTTGATATGTCTTAAAAAATACCAAATCATCCGGGATTAATGAACTGATGTTTTTCTTGGGAGATAAGTCACAACAATTCTCCTCACTACTCGAAAGCTCTCTTCAGTCTTCTATCTGGTTTCAGTAACATTGTCGTCTGGATCTCTGCCATTCTTATTTTCTTTTCTAACCCTTTTTAAATGATCAGCAGGCTCGAATCGACAACTGGAGTTACAACTATCACATTAACGTTCCACAATTCTATAATTCTCTGAAAATGTGCATTTATTTGGTATTTTTTCGTATTAACATAATTTCTTGTTTACATAATTTCTTTCGTTTTTTTCCCAATTTCTTCGTACAAAACAATATATCGCTTTTCAATATACTTTATAAATTTTGTATAAAGGAAAATAAAATATTTCTTTCAGCGACCTTGCAGAAAGCAGCCGTAATGACGTGAGATAAACCAATCACTAAACGAGGTCTTGGTGTCAACATTAACAATGAACAAAGGAGACGATTTTGCTAGGATAGTCATTACTGCAAATCATTCAAAATTTGATTAAAAAACAAAAAGAAGCAAGAAATATTTTCATTCTATGACGTCATGCTATTTCTATGAAACAAAACCGCATGGAATTTACTAAGTGACGCAGCTGACCTGAATATATTTTCTTATTTTAACATTTTAAGTTTTTTGTAAAGATTTATATGTAATTAACATATAAATGTAAAATAGAACCTGTGTGTGTGTGTTTGTGTGTTTGTGTGCATATTAACCAAGTTTCTTATTAAATATACAGGGTGCGACAAAAGTAATGCCTTTTTTATTTATCAACTGTTACTAAACAGAAATGAATTACAGTAGTTTCAGAAGATTGTCACATGAAAACAATATGATTTGTTATGATTAACAAACTATTTAACATGTTCAAAATGCTCCCTACTTCAAACCATTTGACATATTTCTACATTAATTTCAGAAAATTTACCAGAAATTGTTTCTCTCAATTCAGGAACTGTTTTCGATTTGAACCTGTAAACAAGAACTTTCAGTACACCCCCACAAGAAAAAGTCTGGTAGTATTCGGTCTGTTGATCATGATGGTCACTAAGTTGCTCCACGTTGTCCTATTCAGATCAGTTCGAAAAAAAGGGTGTTACTTTTGCCACAAGGTGTACTTAAATTACCTGAAGATTTCAACTTAATATACTAAAGATTAAAAGTTTACGTTTCTTTCTTGCATTTCAGAAAAACTTTCAAATAATTGCTTACATATATTAACAATTATTGTTCATATATGTTACACATCATTGGGGTAATTCAACGTGGTGTAATGATTGGCAGGCTTGTCTCGCTAGATCAATTCCGCCTGAATAGTGAATTCGATTCTCACTGGGTAATGCATGCTTTCAGCCTTGTGCTACGTCTAAGCTACGATTAGCAAATCACTATATTACACGATTGTCCAACAATTAATTTAACTTTGCATAGATAAAATTATAATAAGAAAAGAGTTAAATATTACTCAAAAATAAACTTTTACACCGAATAAAAAAAAGTAATTTACATAAATGAGATGATTAATTACTATAGTTTTCCACTTTGGGGCTTTTTCTTCACATTTTATATTATATTCACATTTTATATTATATTCACGTTTTATTTACATCTTATAATCTTATATTCATATACTACTTACATCTTATTCAAATATTATTTACATTTTATAATATAATATTCAGGCGGTTCCCTCCTTTCTATGTTTAGATGTTACTTTTTCTATCACGCTGAAAAGGCAGGTAAGTAATGTATATATTATATACCGTCATTCTGACAGAATATGGGGCCTAACTGAATTTGAAATATAATTTTTATTTTTAGTTTTATTGTTGTAATTATTTGAATTAGCCATTTCTACATCGGTTTTTTTAACAATATTTCTGCGCAAAACACTACTGAAATAAAAGTAAATTTAACATGTTTGTAATGTTTATTTTACAGTTGTAGCTTTAAAGATTAAAATCACACACCGGTTTGGTTATTTTCCAACTAATAATTCCATTATTATTGGAATAACAATTTCATAGAAGAAAATTTTTTAAAAGTATGTAATATGAATATTAACTCTCGTGCGTTAAATATTAGGGTTTTTTTTAAATAATATCAAAATATTTGTAAAACTGGCACCGTTTCGATTAAAATTTTCTCATTGTTTTGTTTTAACAAGATAACCGATTAGTTGAATTAGTTATATTAAAGAAAAATGTTATTTATTAGTTGGAATAAACAGAACTTGTGTGCAAGAAATCATATTCTTTAATGGATGGGAAATGGGATGTTAAGAAAGCTAGGAAACCATAAAAAACGAAAAGTAGATGAAATGGGATATATAAATATATATATATATATATATATATATATATATATATATATATATATATAATTATTTAAAAAATTATAACATAAATATGTTATAAAATCACTACAAAAATAGCGATTGTGTTTCAACACCTCTGGTGTGTTATCAAGTGATGATGTTGAAGGTAGAACCTACAATCTACATTCAACATCATCACTTGATAAGACACTAGAGGTGTTGAAACAAAATGTCTGTTTTTGTAGTGATTTTATGGCATATTTATGTTATAATTTTTAAATAAATAATTATATTTGCTCTACTCTGTATTGAGCACTCTTTTAAGAATAGTAATTGTTGGTTATTGGAATTTATTCCTTATACACCAATCATATACTTGGAGATAGATAGATAGATAGATAGATAGATAGATAGATAGATAGATAGATAGATAGAAATGAATAAGGATGGAGATGAAAGAAAAAAAGAAAGGTTTTCAAACTAAATATCAAAAGGCAACATGCAAAAATGAGTAGAGATAGAAAGGCCTAAAATTGCGATACATTTTTTATTGGAGAAAAGATAAAAGAAAATATTTAAGTATTTCCTAATCTAATCCATGCTTGTATTATGTGAGAGAACCCTTTTATTTTTTTAGCTAATGCTAACCTCGAGAGAGAGTGAAACATTGCGCTTTCTCAGACTAACGTTTTCAGCTGACATGAAGTGCAAAGAGTCTATTGAATCAATTGCCAAGTCTGAAACTAGAAAAGATGATTCACTATGTCGTACTAGAGAATTTTTCCCGCCAGAATCTATCTTACAGTTTTTGTTTTTTTTTAATCTACCATTCGTCCTTGCTTTGAAGATTTCTGCCACTTATGATCTGGTGCTCCTGCTATTTATTTAGAGATTCTTGATAAAATCCAAAGAAGAATCCGCAATGTTATTGGTCTTGACCTGGCATCTCGGCTCCAGTCCCACCTCCGTAACGTAACTTCTCTGTGTCTTTTCTATAGATAATTTCATGGTAATTGTTCTGACGAATATTCCTCTATGGTTGTTTTTATCCCTCGCCCCCAAAGGCAAAGATTGTACATATCAGGACTAGTTAGAACTTCATAGATACTGGGGTATTATGGTGGATGTAGTAAAAGTGGTAAGTAAGAATGTGTTGTTTTGTTGTAAGGAATACTGTGGTATGTTTGGGTCAGTAATCGTGGCTAGCTAGGTTTAATTATAAGACAGAAGAAGACCAGTCTCGCCCATTCCACACTTTTTGTTAAAAAATATTACTCACAACTATGGTACCTAGACTTTATGAATTTAAGCGCAGTACGAAATTGGCGGCAAGGTCTTATCACTTTACAGTTGAAATGAATAGATGTAACCGCAAGTTCTATGTTAACAGTTTCTTCTATCGTACTTCTCGCTTGTGGAACTCTCTTCCGGCTTCTTGCTTTCCAGTCAACTTTGATCTTACAAAATAAAATGCAATATCTATCGTTATCTTCTTAATTCTTATTCGCTTATTGTCCTCTCTGTTTAATGGTATATTCTCTCACACTTAATAAATTCTTGCGTCCAAGTGGCTTTATTGTTTTGTTTGGGGTGAAATGATTAAAAATAATCTTTCTTAAATGACATACATGCCGCACATGCTTTTGGGCGACCATGTTGCTTTTCGATTCAGGATTAACTTGACATAATAATTCTCCCAGTACGCTGCTGTTACTTTTTGTGGTAGACTGGTTGTCAGCCAAGGTTATAAAACCCAGTCTGTCCTGCTGTTTATATCCAATAACTTGGGGTATAAGTGAGGGTTCCATACCTTAACAGTTGTATGTGCTCGTAAGTGAACGTAACGAAGACGACTTGAACTCGGTTCTCCAATTTCTCATTCCGAGCCATTATCTTTTACACTATCGACACATTCAAACTCACCCGGTCTTCTTAAGTGGTCACCCATTTAGGCTCAACGTTGCTTTTCAATGATTGGACGAGAACCGTTGTTTCAGTCTTACTTCTTTGTGTATTCACTGACTTTCGTTCCGCTTGCAGGCTATTTGCCCCACCCCGCACTTAGACGGTAAGAAGAATTACTTAGAAATTCTTCTGCTATTTTCCTTTCTAGCCTTCTCTTTCATTTCTTTTCTAAATGTGTATGTTTTGATTGATATGAACCACTTTTACTATCATTGTCTAAATTTCTTCCTACTATCATAAATGTACCACTGACTTGCTTTTGCACCATAGCAAAACTGTCATTCTATTTATTCAGTGCCTATTCAAGCATGGGATTACGAAGTTGTCCTATGGTGTGACCAGAATATGCCAGGAAACGTGTCCAACTAACATACATTGCTCGTGACATTTGCCGCTGACGTTACTGCTCCCAGTCTTATCCAGGCTAATTATTCTGTTATGGTCCAACTCTAATAGCGGTTGTCTCGTACAACTCAGGAGATGACATTTCAATGAAAGTGAAAAACAGTAGAAATTTTATAAGCCTTGTCCAGGATTGAAAAAATAAAAGCAAGTCTTGTCGTGATGCTATAAACCTGATACTTTTTAATTCATTATTCCTTCAGTATTTTTCTGCAAATTGTAACGCAGGTTAATTTGAAGTGCATCTTCATTTTTATATGTAATTCTTTACTAACTTTTAACCTTTGTATTTAAAATGGCATCGGCCCATGACTAGGCTTGACATGAAGAATGAAACAGAGGTATTCAGGATTACACGCGGCGTTTGAAGTAAATACCGACGTTCTAATAATCAGATCAAAATAGGTTAACATTATTATTACTAATTTTTGATTAGTATTCTTTTCATTTCATTTTTAGTTGCTTTTTATTGAAACTCTTAGTGGAATTATCGCCTTGCTTTGGGCGAATTGATTAAAAAGAAGATATTCTAAAAATAATCGACTCGCGAATTCGCGAGTGTATGCCTAAAATGGTGACAACATTTGCAAATTATTTATAGCATTTAAATTTCAAACATTGAAGAGTGTAACTAATCAGTTATAGATGAAAAAAAGAAAACGGAATTCAATGATAAAATTAATTTATCTGCTATTGGCATTCATACAAGCAAATGTTGACCCATCACATATTCCGAGAATCGTCAGTTAAGGGCCATACATGATGAACGCTTAGGTGACTGACTAGGCAGATTTTCGCGCAGTAGATTACTGTTTCTTTCTGCTGTAGAATGCTTGCCAACCAAGGCTATAGGACAGAGCCTGTGTTGCTATTCAAGCCATAGATAAAGGTGGGAGAAGAGATGTATTTATATCTTTCCCAGGGGTATTTGCGCGTAGGTGAATGTAACGAAACCGACTTAAATTCGAACTCGGGTCCCTGATTTCTCGTTTCCGAGCTACAATGCCTATCCAAAAATAGTATAACAGTATAAAACATACTGAAAAAAAATTATTTTTTCCAAACGTTTCTAGAATGTATCTCCCTTTGAAGTTAATCTAGAAGTTATTTGAATACTGTATGAACTGCACACTGCATTTTCTTCAGGCCTTGAAGGTACCGATAGGAATAAGACTCAACGAAAAAGAAAAGATGATTTTTTGGGTTTAATATGGAAAGAGAGCAAAATCAAGCAAGTTTAAAAATTTAAATCTCTAGGAAATATTTTTAACAGAGGACGAAAATGCGACATTTGAAGGCGTATTTGAATAGTGAAAGATGCCTTCCAAAAGTTAAGTATAGTATCAAGAAACATTAAAATTTCGTTAGAAACAAAGAAAATAATACTGGACTGTTAAGTGATACCGGCCTTTCTGCATGGCAGCAAATGCTGGACAATCTCGTCGCAGATGAAGAAGAGACTTGAGGCAAAAGTAATATTGTTTTACAGAAGTATTCTGAGAATTCCATAGACTGTACATGTGATTAATGAGGAAGTTTTAGGGAAAAAGAAACAAAAAGAACATTTATAATTAGAATCAGTAAAAGATAATCGAAATTTCTACAGTACATTTTGAGGAAATAGGGCTTCGAGAATTTAACACTCACGTGACATTGAAGTCGAAAGGGTATAGGAAGTCAGCGAATAACCTAAGAACTTTATGTAAATGATTGACAGAACAGGAATTAGGATATATATATATATATATATATATATATATATATATATATATATATATATATATGGTGACCCCCAAAAAGGTAATTTTTGAATTGCGTATTGCCAAACATGAGTAAGTGGTAACACTGCGAGATAGTGACCTTGAGCAAGTAAACATTTCGCCATTTAGAGTTCAAGATGAAATTCACAGTATCCCAGCTGAGATGTTGCAGCAGTCAATGAGGAATCTCAACAGCAGATTTCAAGAATGCATTCGTACAGGAGGACGCCATCTACAGGACGTAATTTTTAAAAATGAAAATTTTATCATTGTTTCTTAAATGGCATGTTTTAAGGTTCTAATTACTATAAATAAAATATTTTTCTTCCATCACTCTTGGTTTTATTGTATTGTTAAAAAATTCCCGTTGTTTTGGGTCACCCTATATATATATATATATATATATATATATATATATATATATATGAAGAGCTACAAAGGACAGGGATGTTGTGGGTAGCCATGATTTTCTATATCAAGACGGGACAAGGAAGAAGTGGAAAAGAAAACCAATTAATGCTGTTGCACAACAATTGAAATGGTATGGAATCACCATCAGAAATATTTTAAAGAATTCAGAAACGTATGACAATAAGAAACGATTAGAGAGACCACCGAAATTGATTGCTGCAGGTCATCTTCGCCTTCTTAAAGCGATATCAAATGAATACTTGTTTTCTAGAGGTATCTGAAATAAACTTCATCTTGATATCATTACAAGACGAGCTCGGCAAGATGAAATATGGCAAACTTTATGTTTCGGCCCAGAAGGAAAACCCCCTGCTTTCATAAATACAAGATAAAAAATCGTGTCAGGTGGAGTGAGGAAAATGAGACCTGAATGAGACTTTTGACAATGGAAGAAGATAATGTTTTCTGGCAAGAAGTTCCGTTTGGGTGATTTCGATGTAATGCTATGCGAAAAGTGAAGCAAGTGTTTATTTGACGGAGTATGGGATATGTTGTCAGGAGCTTTTCAGTTAAAGATGAAGCCGAAGTGTTTATGATAAAAAATGTTGTTTCAGTTTTCAACTGCCATTGTCGAACAAAATGCGATAGCCCAGGACAATACAGCCATTTATAATGAAAAGGTCACCAAGGAAAGGTTTGAGTGCAAATGCATAGTGACTATTGACAAGCCTGCAAACACTCCATTTGAGAACATGTGTTACATTTTTTCTAAATGAGTCTATAAGTAAAGTTAGTTTACAAAAAGGAATAGTCTAATCTCTTGTATAAAGTACTGCTGGGATTAAATTCTTGAAAATTTGCAAAACCTTCTGTACAAAACCTTCGATACAAAACAAATGTATTCAGATTTTATAATCAAAAGAAAATCTTGCAGCTATTAAT